ACTGTCTTCTGACCTTTGTTGTAGATCTTTGCTGTAGTTATACCCTTCGCACATACTGAAGTTCAGGTGCAGCTCTACAAAGTTTGGACTTATCCTGCTGCATCTGGCTTGTGTCTGGCTGCTGTGCTCAGCTCCTTCCCGCTGCTGCCCTTAAGGGTGAACCTGTTGTGCCCCCATGGTAAGATGTTCTGCACCTGGACTAGCTGGTTGGATCTATCCTCTACACTCTCTGCAGGGATTGCAGCTGCAGGATTACACCTCAGGTGTGTACACCAGGCCTAAGCTGTGCCTGGAGCGGGCAAGGTGAAGTAGGGGGAAGAGGAAGCTCTCCGCACACACTCACCGGACCTGAGCTAGGACTGGGTCTGGGGGCTCCCGGAATTCGGCAGAAAATCCTACTCGGCGGGCGGGTTGGTGGGGGAGGCAATGCGGAGTGGTGGGAGCTGGCCCAACGGGCTGGGAGAGTGTCCGGCCCTCGCTGAGCCTGGGCTGGGACTGGTCCCGCCGGTGCAGGGTAGCAGGAAACTTGCCGCACACTCACCGGACCTGGACTAGGACTGGGTCTGGGGGCTCCCGGAACTCGGCCCTTAATTGGATTTAAAGAATTGCTGGCCTTGAGTCGTACTGTGACTTGAAGGAAGAATGCAAGCCTTGGCCTGCGGGTTCCAGTGCTCGTTTGGATTCTGGCCAGCTGTGTCGGCCCGCAGTGTGACCTCTAGCTGGCCACAGGGGTCTTGGCTCTGAACTCTCTCATCTAAAGGGGCAAAGCGAGAAATGGTGCCTCAATGCATGTGGCACTGTCATTTGGGGAGGCAACTTGTTCAAGGGACCTGGCCCCTCCCTGTGGGCTGTGTTACCTTCTTGGTGTCCTTCCATAACACCAGTAGCACTTTCCAGGAACCATAGCAAGCAGAACTTTCTCCAAACAGTTTTAAGTGCCTCCTCAGAGAGGCAGGGCCCGTTTGAGTATTATAAGTCCCCAAGGGCCTCAGAAGCTCTGTGATTCTGCCACTGTACCCAACCACTGCTCGGTGAGATAGGTGCTGCCAGTTAAAAACAAGGTGAGCAGAAACTGATGCAAAGAGAAGACATAGGTCCCCAAAGGAATGACAGAACTTCCTGAAGGCACTTATCTGCTCCTCCCTGTATCTCGCTCTATTTTTTCCACCTTTTCAGGAGGAGACTCTACCTTGTCTTAGGCAACTGGTACTGCCATAGTAAGGTACCATAGATGGGTGGGCCTAAACAGCAAAAGTTTATTTCTCATAGTTTTGGAGCCTTGATAGTCAAGATTGAAGTGCTAGTAGAGTCCATGTCAAGTGAGGGCTCACTTCCTAATTCACACAGGGCTGTTCTCACATGGGGGAAAGGGTCAGGAGAAGATTAGGCATCTTCTTTTAAAAGGGCACTAATCCTATTGTGAGGGCCCTGCTTCTTAGACCTAATTACCTCCTAAAGGCCACTTGCAACACCATCATATTAGGAGGTAGGAATATGAATGAATTCAGTGAAACTCAAATAATCAGCCCACTGCATACCCTCAGGCTATGTCTAGTTTTGAGATGGGGGTGTTTTTGTTTTTATTTACTGGAGACTGAACACGTGGTCTTCACATTGAACTATAGCCCCAGTCCTTTTTTAATTTTTTATTTTGAGAAAGAGTTTTGCTAAGTTTCTAAATTGTCCAGACTGGGCTCAAATTTATGATCCTCCTGCCTCATCCTCAGGATGACAGGTATGTGCCACCATGCTCAGTTTGTCACTTTTTTTTTTTTTTTTTTTTTGAGATGAGAACTTGCTATGTACTTCAGCTAGGCTTTGCATTCACTATGTTGCTCAGGTCAGTCTCGAACCCATGGCAATCCTCCTTCCTGAGTCTCCCAAGTGCTGGGATTGCAGGTGTGCACCACCACATCCAGCCATCCCTAACTTTTAAACTACTGCAGAAGAATGAGCTAATGAACCAAACACAACTTAGAGAATCAACAATTTATCAGTCACTTCTAGTTACATAGAATTGAAAAAGGACACCCAAAGAGAGTAACGCTTAATCTGATAAAATTTGCATAAGTGAAAGTTAGCACAGCAGTACACATGAGGAAAAGTGTTTAGGGTGGGGACCATCCTAGCCTCTTCCAAATCATAACACCCAATAAAGGCAGTCGTAGCTATGAATTATTCCACTATCTCTCTTCTTGTTTCTCACAGACTCAAAAATGCCCCATTCAACAAATCAGTTGTGTTGTCTCGATTGTTTATTGTTTATTAGTTTTGCTAAGACTGTTATTCTGACCAACTGTTTGTGTCCTGTCATTCCATAGGACTGTAGATGACACAACATTTACAAGCACCATTAAGGACAAAAGAGTAGCCCAAGCTCTCTACTCACAGGCGAGAGCAAAAGACAAGACAGCTGGATTGGTGAGGTAAGGGCAGGACCAGCAGGTCTGCCATCTCACCTCCATGGTTTCTTTCTCTCCTGTCCCATTCCCCAGTGCAAACCCTCCTCCAGACAGGCACTGAACCTAAACCAATGGCAAACACTCATAGTCAGACTGCAGAATTATACATCACAATTTCTATTTTCCTAAAGACCTCTCTTCACCAGTGAGTTTGGACAATGTTGCATGGGTTAGCTGGTATTTCTTGTCTTACAGGTAGATAAATATTCTGTGAATAAATGCTGATTTTTCCCCCTAAAGAATGCAGAGTACTACAGAAATCCTTCATTAATAACCTTGTTGCAAAATTTTCTAAACATACAGAAGAAAATGATTAGAGTTTGTTTTGTTGGGCCAGCCAGATAGCTCAGCAGATTAAAGAGCCTGCTTAGGCAGATGCAGGGACTGGGATTTGATCCCCAGCATGCCATGCGAGACCCACCCCTGGGGCACACTGAGACTGTGACTGAGACTGGATGTGGTGGTGCCTGTAATCCCAGCGTTTGGAAAGCTGAAAACAGGAGAATCACTATAAATCCAATCTGTATAGTGAGACATTGTAGACCTTGTACTAAATACAAAAAAATTTAAAAAGAAGAATTTGTTTTGGTGGTACCAGGGATCAAACTCAGTATCTTGTGCTTGCCAGGCAAGCACTTCCACTGAGCTATCTTCCCAGTCCCCTTATAACTTATGTTAATGATTTCTTTTCCCTTACTTTTATGAGAGAGGGCTTTTGAAGACTTCAGTTACTAAGTGTGGATTCTAAGGACTTTTTTTCTTTTATGGTCTTGCAAAAGACATTGAAAATGCCCAAGTCACCTCAAAAATCAGCCTTTTAAGCAAGAAATTTCAAAGAAATCTTTGACTTGCCACTAGTTACACTTCGCAGGTCATTTCTGCCCAGGTCTGCCACTTTTTTTCTTCTATGTCCCCAAACTTATCTGTAGTTGAAGTCCTTTTCATTTCACCAGTGCATATCACTCATTCAGCAAAAACACATCAAGTGTTAGTGCTACACCCAGTTCGGCTAGAAGCGCAGCACGCAAAATCGCTCTCAGCCTTGACGTCAGCAGAACAGTACGCAGTGCTGTGAGAGCCAGCTGTGTGCTTCTGCAGCGGGGTCCAGAAAATCCACGGAGGAACTGATGCTCCATCTGAGCCCACGGAGGTCTGTGGAACTCAGCCAGGTGAGGAAAGAAGCAACTCCAGAGGGGACGACTCGTGCTCTGCTGTGCGTCGCTCAGCTCTTTTAGCTGCAGGAATCACCCTGCCACGTCCACCCATCATTTGGAGCAGTCCACTCGTCCACTTATTCGTCCCACACATTCTTCTTTGTAACACAAACTCTTCTGGGCACTGATGGCTTAGCAAGGAATACAGCTCACCTCCCAACCTGCTTCTCAGGTAAACAGGGCCTCTCAAAACCTGGCACCAGGCTGCATTCAGCTTTTTCTTCAACTACCAGTATCCCAAGCCGATTTCTCTTAACCCAAACAGGCTGCTTATGTACTTGTTTAATTACTTCATTTAAAAGAAAATTGTTCATCATTAATTATAACACAAGCTGTTTCTACTATTTTCTCTGTAAAACCGTAAACACCTCAAGATCAACGTTCACAATGGGCACCACATGTACAGTGACAAAATAAGGCCTTACACTGGAAATACATATCCACCTTAATGGACTAATAGAATTCTTCTCCCTGAAGACCTCCAAAAATATTAAGAATCCCCCAATCCTCAAAATGCAAGAAGTAAGTGCTGTCTTCAGTGGCGTTGATACTTGGCCTCAACTCTTGATGCTGCAGCTGACTAGAGTGGAGTCCTGAGCAGGCGACTTACCTTCTCTGAGCCTCTGGGGTGATTTTCACCCTGCAGAACTCTATCAGACATGACATTTGTCATGCTCCTGGCACATGCTGGGGACCAGTCAGTGGCAGCTTTTTGTAGATGACACTCAGATTGGCAAGTAGCTCTGGAATCAACAGATAAGGGAAGAGGAGAGATTGAAATTCTTGGTAGGGTTAAATTTATCTAGAAATTGCACATCTAGGTATTTGCATCTACTGTACCTCTTTCTTAAACAACTGAGCAGATCTGATCACCCAGCATAAAGGCCAGATGCGCTCTCTTGAGACGCTTGGCCTTGTCTCTCTGTCCTGTGTGATGACTTACATTGGACATGCCCACATGTAGGAGCAGAGCCCTTGACATGGAGAACTTCCAAATGGAGGTAAACATCCGTCCTGGAGCAAAGGTGCAGTTCGAGCTCCATTACGAGGAAGTAAAATGGAGGAAGCTCGGATCCTATGAGCACAGGCTTCACCTGCAGCCGGGACGGCTGGCCAAACACTTGGAGGTGAGTGTGGGGGTGCGGGGGTGAGGGGGCACAGCAATGCCAGTCTCTTTTGGATTCTTTCCCTTACTCATACTTGCTGTTTGTCACTCCTACTGGTGGGGCTCAGTGCAGTCAAGCCTGCAGAATAAGACGGTATGCTGAGAATGCGTGGGTTTGGAGTCAGCCACACCAATTCTCTCTAATTCCACCACCATCTCAGCTCCTTAGAGGCTGTATGAGTTTTCTGGAGCTGATGGAACAACCACACACAAACTGTCTTATTATCTCACAACCCTGAAGGACAGAAGTCTGAAATCAAGGTAACAACAGAGCTGTATCCCTTCAGGAAGCTCAAGGGTGAGATTCTGTTTCTTGCTTTTTCTGGGGTCCCACAGCTGCTGGCATTCCTGGACTTTGGCTCCTTTTGGCAATGCTACCCCTATGTCCTCCCTTATAGCCACTTTGCTTCCTTCTACGACAACCTAAAATCTCCCCTTCTGCTCTCTTATTGTAAGATCACTCATTATTGGATTTAGGGCCTACCCGGGAGCATAGGGTTGTCACATCTCAAGATCTTTCACTTACTTACTATATCTACAGAAACCTTTTTCCTGTTCACATCCACAGATTCCAAGGGTTTGACCACAACATATCCTTCAAGGGCCACTGTTTTCCTTGCAACACTAATCTTTAGGGTCACATTATCCTGATTATCTATTTTCTTTTTTGGTATATATATATTTGATACAGGGTCTCAGCACACTGCTCAGACTCATAGCAATCCTGCTGTTTCAGCCTCCTCAGCACTGGGATTACAGGTGTGCACCACCATGCCTGGTCTCATTGGCCAGCTAAGGGCACCCAGGGGTGGAGTCAGCACGGCACGTGGGTCAGGAATCAAACCCAGTCCCTGTGTTTGCCTCAGCAGGCGCTTAGTCTGCTGAGCTATCTCACCAGCCCTGATTATTTACTGTCTCAGCTATAAAATGGACACTACAGTATATGGAGTAAAATAGACTTGTGGAAATAATCATGTTTATGGAAATAGAACTTGATGAGTGCTATCTTCTTGCATCCGCCTCAGGAAAGTAACGTCTAATCAGTACAATTAGCATGCACTAATAATTGCAATTTTAGAAGGGATAGAGAGTGATACAATGATTATGTTGGCTACTAATGTGAATTTAACTTTGCTGTTATCACTTGCTTTTAAAACAGAGTTGCAGCTGAGTATAGTGGTGCACTCCTGCAATCCCAGCACTCTGAACCACTGAGGCAGGAGGATCTCAAGTTTGCCTCCAGCCTGGGCAACTTAGGGACTTAACAAGTTCTTTCTCAAAATAAAAACTATAAAGTGTTGAGGATGTAGCTCAGAATGAAGGCCTTGGGTTCGATAACCAGTACACCAAAAGTAAACAAAAAGGCTGGAAATGCCCTTCCCTTTGCTGGAGGTGCTATGGTCTCCTACAAACCTCTATGTCAGAGGTAGAGCACAGCTAGAAGACAGGACTGAAGGCAGTCCTTTCCCCATAACAATGAGAAAGTGAAGCAGGCAGGCTGCAAACTGCCCATAGATTAAGAAAATGGTGTGGGTGAATTGATCCTGCTGAAATTTTAATTCCAATGTGAATATATGGATATCTGATAAATATTTATCCTCTATGGGGATCGGTATGTGCTGTTCCGCCCTTTTGGGGGCCATTCCCTTTGCACATACAGAACCTTTATATGAATTAGAAAAAGGGAGCTTTCCTCCTGGCAACCACTGCCGCATGCCAGAACACGTGACTCGGTGAGACAGCTGCTTGGTTCCATCAGCCATGAATCATGCGCTTCTGGCTAATTTTCTAGTAAACAATGGTTACCATATTCTCTTGCCCACTACTATGAGTCCCAAGGTAAGTAGTACTGAGGGAGCAGCTTTTGTGTGATTAGTCCCTACCTTGTAATGAGGCTACGCAATTGCATTTGTTGATAATAAATAACATTAATAAAAAGCTGAGTAAATGGTATGAAAATCTATACATTCCATGGTGTCTGGGAGGAAGCATTTATAGCCATGTGTTACAGAGCCCTCGTCATGCAGTAGATGGCATTATCCTCCACTCACATTTATAAGTGAGACTCAGCTAAGTGACTTGCCTGAGGTCGCAAAGCTAGCAAGCAAGGTGTTCTCTGGGCCTGAATGCACTCAAGACTACCCTCGGGGCTATAAGTTAGTGCAGTACATGGCAGGCAGAGCAAACCTGTGGGCTATGCCCTGAGGGCAAGACCATGAACTGCTTAGCATGATCCTATTTCAACAAACAAAAAAGAAATAGCAGTTGTGACTATGACTTTGTCAAGAATCATTCTCTTTTGCTTAGGCAAGCACAGGGACCTGGGTTGGATCCCCAGACCCGCATGCTGCACCAGCCCCACCCCTAGGCTGTGTTCAGCCAATGACTAAGTCCAGGTGCAGTATCTCACACCTATAATCCCAGCACTGGGGAGGCTGAAAATAGGAGGATCACTATGAGTCTGAGCTGTATAGTGAGACCCTGTACCAAGTACCTAAAATGAAAAAAAGAAAAAGTCTCTCTGTTAAGCTCTGTTTGAAAGGAGAGAGAGAGAGAGAGAGAGAGAGAGAGAGAGAGAGAGAGAGAGAGAGAGAGAGA